CATTTTAAATGTTTTTATTTCACTCTTTTTCTAAGACACTTTGAATAGTTGAATGGTAGTCTGCTGTTTATACAAAAAAATAGCTTATCAGTTTAGTGTCAGACATTTAGGTTCTTAATTTGAGGCTGTTGCAGTGAAGGTAGGCAGCTTCCCATGGATCTCTGTATTGATGAAAGCTGGCACTATACAAACTCAGAGGCTCTTTGCCTTTTTACACATTTGCCATTCAGAACATTGCCCCTTTCTCCCCTCCCCCTCTCATTTGGGAAACAAGCTATCCCTTTGTAGCCCAGGTTGACCTTGCCCCTCAAGAGCCTCTGCCTTCTGAATCCACAGTTATGCACCACCATGCCCAGCATAAGCATGTCCATTTCATCATACATTGTGAAATATCGTCATTCTAAAGAAAACTTTTATCAGTTTGGTATTTCTATTTTTAGATCTGCCTGCACATTTTTGACAGTAAATTTGGATAAGATTGCTCTTATTTTCCTTAGTTGAATAGCTGTTTTCTCCCTTCCATATATGACATGGGAGTGACCTTCCTTCATTATTTATCTACTAGGTATATAAGCACTAAAGATAGTAACTCCATGGAGCAGGGCTCATCAGAGAGAGAACTTAGTGAACTAGTGTCAGGATAAACTGTGCTGAGTCACGCTTCTCTCATTTTTTTGGTGCTCTGTATTTAAAACTTTTTCCCTTCTCTTCACAATATTTTATCATTCTTACCAATTTTTAAAAATCTATTGGGGCTCAGAGATTGTTGCTCATATGACTCTTTTTCTTGTGGCTTATTGTAATTATCTATCATTTCCTTTAAGAAAGGAAGCTGTGCTGAGGGTTCACTGTAGATTTGAGCCCCTTGTGGGCAGGCAGGGTCTCAGAGTTACTGGAACTATTGTTCACAGAAGAAAGAAAAGTAGGGCAAGAAGATGGCCACCTGACTGTTTTTCTTTCTCACTGGAAATGAGAGATACTCATCTCTTCTACCTTTCTGAGGCTGGGGGGAAGCTGGACAGCTTTCATGTAACCCATTCATTAGGGTCCCCATTTCTGATAGCTTAGCAAAATTGTCCTTTGTTTTCTGGGCATTAAAAGGCAAAATTACCAATGGAGAAGTGAGCAAGAAAAGAGCTATCTGGTGGGTTTAATGGAAAAAATTGTTCATGCTCTATAGATATATGTCCAAAAGAGACACTATTGTCTGTATGCTTCAGTCAGTGAACACGTGCATGAGCTTGTTGGAGAACAAGTTTATCGTTCATGTCTGTGGGGAGAACTATACTCCTGTGACGGAAAAGGCGCACTTCTAGTGTAGAAAAACAAGGCGGTAGAAAGCTTCTACTCTGTCACAATGTAGAGGTCCCCATACTTGCTAGACTTCATGGACGCATAATGTAACATTTCAAAGTTTTTGAAGAGCAAACTTGTAACATTTTACTGCCAGAGAATTAATTTCATGAAGCTGGCAATGATTTCAGTCTTGTGTCAAGAACCAAATGGATTACAATGAAATGTCAGATGAAGCTTATAGTGGGCTCACTTAAATGTTCATAATGATAATAAATGTCTCAAGGTTTGATAAAAGAACTGGAAAAGAAGGCGACCCCCCACCTCCTGCAGTTTTCATTGTAAGTGAAACTGCCCCATGGGTGCAGGGAAGACAGTGGGGAAGCCGTCCCACCTTGATTAGCCTTTTTCTTCATGAATTCCCTCAGCTCCTTTTCTTGATTTTTCAAGTAGGAAAAAATGAAAATCTTAAGCCTTTGTAAGGACATTATGGAAATGTTGAAATCAGTAAACATGAAAAAGCCAAATTGAAGCTATAAATCAGTAAATGACAATTAAGAAACTTCGGATTTAAGGGAAGGAAAGGCAAGGATCAGACTTCTTCTAGTCACTAAAGACATCTTGTGGTTGCCATGCCCTTGCACAGCCTTAGCTAAAGACAGAGAAGCTAGACTGTCTATGTCCTTTCACAGCAGCTTTTCCAGCAATGGGAATACTGGTTGGCAAAGTACATGTTAGCTCTTAATTGCTTCTGAATTTCAAATAGGAGAAAGTGATATGGGATGAAGTTATTGATGCTTTCTTGTGTTTCAAATATTGAAATCTGCCCATATGTTCTGTTTCTCTTTTATTATTATTTTGGTTGTCTGTGGTCCTGGGGAATGAACCTGGGTCCTTTTTATGCATGCCTGCTAGGCCAGTGCTCTTGCACTGAGCTGCTTCCAGCCCCCAGAAGGTATGTTTTTATAAAATTTACACTGAAGTCACAATAGTCATTCACATAGACTCATTGCTCAATATTTTCAATTGTTTTGAGCCATGTAAAGTAAAAATAAAAAGTTGAGCATTTGTAGTTATAGACCAAAATAAGGAGTCTAACGATACTTCTTCTGGATGTGGTTGTGTACACAAGTACCACGTCAGCTGGGGCTACTGGGAGACCCTGTCTCAAAAAAAATTTTTTTTAAAAAGATACTTCTGTATAATAAATGTGATGCATCAGTACTTTGGTATAGGTATTTATATTTCTCACCAATGTGTTGTTTTTATTTGAGTTGTAATTGTTCTCTGGGAATATTTTATTTTTGTTGTTTGGTTGTGTTTTTTGTTGTTATTGTTGTTTTTCCTCTGGGAGAAACATATATTCTTTCTATATTTTAAATATAAGAAAATGTTTACAAGATAAGAAGTTTAATTTGATGATGAATATTTACCATGCTAATCCAGGTGACCATGAGGCTCTGGATCTTTCCAACTTCTTAACATTTCATTCTTTACTGCATAGTTTCCATGTTCTAAAAAGATTAATGATCTTGACTGGGCATGGTGGTGCACGCCTTTAATCCCAGCACTTGGGAGGCAGAGGCAGGTGGATCTTTGTGAGTTTGAGGCTAGCCTGGTCTACATAGTGAGTTCTAGACCAGCTGGCTATGTCTCAAAAACACACACAAACACACACACACACACACACACAAAGTGCTCTTATTCACTGAAACACTCCCTTGTTTGCTCAGCATTGGCTCTGTTTTGAAATGTTTCCAAAAATATCCTTCTGTGTGGCTGGGCATGCAGGTTGGGGTAGAGGGGTTTTGGCCCCCTTTCGTGAGGCCCCTGGCTTGCTCACCATTGATATGCACAGACACACAAATTAGAAACATTGCTTTACAGATAATGTCATTTTTGGATTCTAAGGTTTAAAAGTAGCATATTATAATCTTTTTAAAAATCACAGGTAAATACTTCTGAAAGTGATTTAATTGAGACAGCCAAGAGTAAACGTGAAATCCTCAAATCCTTTTTTAAATTATTTTGTCATGATTTCATTCATCTCAGTTTTTAGAGCATGTCAAAATCTGGTAGGATGCAAAAAAAAAATAAGTAATCAATCCTATTTCTATCTTCTAAAATAACCAACTTTTATGAGTAGTCAAGAATTATTTGGAAGCAGTGTTTTTAGGACAGGTGATAATCCACTGTAGCTGCATACCATGATATGACTTACTTTATTTCATTGTAATTGACAGTTATTTTTGAATGACTAATTGGATGCTAAAGCAGTGTTTTAAAACTGAGGAAAGGTGAGGCAGTCTTGAAGACAGGCCTGCTGAGGTATATCCCCACTGAGACGAGTGATGTTAGAATGGCAGATACAGAGATGGCAGGTGAGGCCTTGACCTTTGTGGTCTTGCTGCATAGGCCAGCAGCAGCTGTGTTTTCTCCTGGGATGGAGAATTTCTTAGTAGTAGAATGTGGCCTCACACCATATTCCATTGGGTTATATATTCAACTTTCATTCCATCCTCTGGGTTTTAAAACAGATGAGCAAGAATTTATATATCCTGACTGTGTTGGATTTTAATAGCCTTCTTTCGAGCTTGGTGACTTCAATTATGAAATTAAAGATTCATACTTAGTGATTAATTAAATAGCATTGCCTGAGTGATATTTACCAGCTATATGATGTGTAATTCAACATTGTGGAAAAAAAATCTTCCCACATGTCGCTTAGTTCGGTCTTGTCTCCCAGGTGCTAGTAATTAAAGGTCTATATTTTCCTAAACCTGAACATCTTTTCTGGCTGACTTTATATCCCCAAGATTTGATATTGCTTATACATAAAAATGAATAGTGAACAATGAACTAGCTAGTGAAATTCTTTACATGAACTTTTTCTTGCAAAGAGGCAAATTAAATACATACATACATACATACATACATACATACATTTTGGTGTTTTTGAGACAAGGTTCCCCTGTAGTGACAGTTGACCCAGAACTCACTATATAGACCAGGCTGGCCTTGATTTCATAGAGATCCACCTGCCTCTGTCTCCCACATGCTGGGATTAAAGGAGTACGCCATACCACCACACCCAGCTGAATATGAATATATATATATATTTAATATTTTTATTCTATGTGTATGAATCTATTGCCTGCATGTGTGTAAATGCACCTGTGTCCTGCAGTGCCCCTGGAGGTCAAAAGAGAGCAATTGAATCTCCTGGAACTGGAGTTAGGACAGTTGTTAGCTGCCATGTGGGTGCAGGGAATTGAACCTGGGTCCTCTGAAAGAGTAGCCAGCACTCTCAACTGCTGAGCCATTTCTCCAGCCCCCTATATATATTTTTTGACTTGACTTCTTTTACTGTGTTTACCTCTGGTTTATAATACATAAACAGATGAGAGTAAAACCCCATAAAACTTCACATACTAACCCCAGACTTGCAGAGTCCACCTACCCTCACTGGATTCCCCCAGTGTTTCTTAGAGTATATTGCAGCATTCAGTGCAATACAGAAGTAAGTTTGGTCTGATGCTTCTTGCAGTCTGGCCCAGATGTATCTGGAAGGGCAGCTACGAATCATGTTGTGGGGTGGAGAGAGTATGCTTGTGCTGATTACAAAACTGTTATTAGAGGTCTTCAGAGCAGTGACTAAGAGGAAGAAGCTTTGAGATATAACTCTGTGCAATTCTGTCCCCGTTTAGAAAGCCGAAGATGATGACATTGTTCTCACACCAGATGGCACCCGGGAGTTTCTGACTTTTGAAGTTCCACTCAATGACTCTGGATCTGCAGGGCTTGGTGTCAGTGTCAAAGGGAACCGGTCCAAAGAGAATCATGCGGATTTGGGAATCTTTGTTAAGTCCATTATTAATGGCGGAGCTGCATCCAAAGTAAGCACCTGTCAGTCTTGTCCATCCTATACAGGCTGTTGAGAGGGTTTCCTGTCTGCCCGCTTCCTGCTTTGCACAAATGTTCTGTTTCTTTCTTTAGAGTGCCCCTCCCATGACCAAGTAATAAGGGAAAGTCATATTGATACGTCATTTGGGGGATCATAGCTCATCATTCCAAGTCTTCATTTTGATTTCACAGGACCCACAGCCCATAGTTATGACATTCTTTACACGAACCCTTTTTTCACTTCCTGTATGTGGGTCACTTGCTCTCTTTGTATCCCAAAGGAAATAGAGTGTCACTTGTTGAAGGGTGTTTTTCTACAATTGTCTAATAGCATCGAACCTCACAGGTCTTGGGTTATAAACCACCTCAGTGGATGTTTCTGGAAGCAAGAGAGTGATCACTTGTCCTTTGAATTAGTATATCATTTTGGCAGACATTATGATAATGACTTGATTCAGCAATCTCTAAAAGAAGCAGGAAAAGGGTGGTCCTAGTATGTCAGGACTTGTGCTAAGCCTTTATACACATTATCTTCATGAGCTAAGAAGGCCATGGGTTGTGGGTTCTGTGAAATCAAAATAGAGACTACAGTCGCTTATGTTAAAATTAAAGCTGTGGCTTCTTATGTTTTACCTGTTTGAACTGGGGGCGGGAAGGGGTTGGGCTTCTTTCTTGGCATGCTGTTCGGCAGCACTCACTTCACCTGCCTTCCCTCCAGGATGGAAGGCTGCGGGTGAATGACCAGCTGATAGCTGTTAATGGGGAGTCTCTGCTGGGCAAAGCCAACCAGGAAGCCATGGAGACCCTGCGGCGGTCCATGTCCACTGAGGGCAACAAGCGTGGTATGATCCAGCTCATTGTGGCCAGGCGGATCAGCAAGTGCAATGAGGTAAACACCCAGAGGTCCAGAAATAGGGTCATTTCAAATGACAGGAGCCTCCCTTCTGCCTGCATACTAGACAGAACAGCAGGTTTGAGGATGCCACCTTGAAAGCTGTGGTTACCTTGGTTTACTGGTGTTGTGTTGGTTTATCAGTAGTTTTTTGTTGTTACTGTTGTTTTGTTTGTTTGCTTTGAGACATTGTTTCAGGTAGCCCAGGCTAACCTCAAACTTGCTATAGATGATGATCATGAACTTCTGATCTTCCTGCCTCCTCTTTCCTAGTGCTAAGATTACAGGTGTGCACCACCACACCTGATTACTCAATGCAGGGGGCCAAACCCAGGATTTTATGCATGCTGTAGGCACTATAACAACTGAACTGTAGTCCCAGCCTGGTTTCTTTTCGTAGTTGAATGGTAAAAGTTTTCCCAAATCTATTTGATTATTCTGTGGCAACTAACCAGATCACTCCTTGTCTCAGAGCCACTTATAGCTAGCTGAATCTTTTCTGAACAGCAGTGCCTGCCCATTTACCTCCAAACCTTCAGTCTATCCTCTAGCTAGTAGACACACAGGGGTGATAGACCTGAGGCTCAGCGGCATGTGTCCCCAGTGTTCCTATGGCAAGATGAGATGCAGAGACAGGAGAATCCCTGGAAGTTTGCAGGCCAGCTATCCCAGTGTGTACAACAGCAAGCAATGAAATCAACCCCCTTTGAAACAAGGTGGAAGGCAAGGATCAACAACTAAGGTTTCCCTCAACTTCCACATACATGCCATGGCTCATGTGTACTAACAGACACACATCATGTATACACACATCATACCCACAAAAAATAGAAAAAAGAAATAAAAACCCCGTTTTTTCTATTTTAAAGCCTCTGTCTAATAAATGCACAAAGACACTGATGGCCACTCATCAGAGCCTATGCTACAGTCACTTTTTGCAAAATGAATGTCTCTTGAGCTTGGTGACTGGCAGTTAGAGGGGTTTGACCTTGATGGGATTATTTATGCTTGCATTGTTTTTATTTGCCAAATGTAGATGAGCTAACCATAATTAAGAAACTAATTTTTGCAGCAGAGAGCAATGTAATCTTTAAAAGAGACCCCCCCCCCAAAAAAAAAAGTCTTTGAAATGAAAAAGTTAGAATAGAGATTTC